GCTGGACTCTCTCCAGCAGCTCCACATCCCTCTTGTCCTGGGGAGACCAGCACTGGACACAGTCTCCAGATGTGGTCTTCTTGGCCGCAAGGCACTGCTGCCTCATGGTCTACGTGACGTCCACTACGACACCATCATCTCAAGGATGCAACTGAAAAGCGTGGAGGTGAATGTTAGAGCCTGCAAGTAGCAGAAATATGCCTTGGTGTCCTGAAACAAAAGCCATTCAACTCTTACCACATTCGATTTGTGGCATTGGGAAAAGAACCTATGCCGTAGGAGAAACAACTACTGTTTTGAAACACCCAGGACAGCCTTGCACCTAGTTTTGGCCTGCCTAACTGAGTATTGTGTGCTCTCCCAGGCATTTATTGCACTGTTTTCCACCTAAGTTGTACTGGCTTGGACTAAGTTTCACCTTCAGCATAACCTCTGCTACTGCAGAACCTGTCCTACAGCACACTAACATGAATTTTACGATGTAACCACAGAAATTGCAGACAGGTTGCCATCACACCTCAAAAACAGAACACAGTTTAACAATGGATATTTCAAAAGTGGAAGTGGATACAGCGTAAACGCACATTTTGAAAATGCTTTTCACATCACCACACTAGTAGTAGCCCTTCCTGTTAGACAAGTTTAAAGTAAAAGATGTTTGATGTAATCAGATGTTCTCATTAAATTCTCCTCCTAAATATTTCTCTCTGCTTCCTTGAGCTTCTCAGCATATTAATGTTAAAAATATTTCAATTAAAATGTACACAATACTTTTGTTAACTAGTCCCTTACGCTGCTGTACCTCTTACTGTCTATTCTTAAGGCTTTCTGTAAAGATGAAAGCTTCACATTTTTTTCAGCAGACAGGCGTTAGCAGAGTTGTTCACTCAGAAAGATGAACTTCWGAGGTTCAGAACTCAGGTAAGTACAGAATTATTTACACATGGGTATCCAGTTCAAATACAAGCCATCAGACTTAAATTTRCTATGATCCACTGAGATGAAAGAGGCATCTTACAGTAGATGAGTATTCCTTCTATGGAGTTTATGGAAGATAATTGTCCTCATCAGAAATTGAAGTCYATTTATCCATCTTTGTTCAAAACTGAAGTTGAGCTTGTTCTGGTGCTCGTGGGATCAATCAATCAATCAAAAAAAAAAAAAAGTGCTTATCCATTCTGCAAGTGTTCTGCAAATAAACATATCTTATCTGCAGAATTTTCATGAAAAGTATATTTCATAAAATATAAATGGCAAAATTTCAAGAAAGCTTTAACCTAGAACTTCTCCTGGAGTTGTTTCTGTTTCTCCAAAGACTGGCAACTCTATAAGATGTCTCTATACATACATATGCATGTGTTTTTCTGCCTTCTGATAAAGCAATCAGCAGTTCTGACTCACAGCAAGCATTCTGCTGCAGACCTGTGCCACCTGGCTGTTTCGTCTCAGCAGGGTTAGGGGTTAGCAATCTGACTTTAAATACAGGCAATTTTATGACATAATTACTCTATTGTTAAGGTATCTGCTGCCTGGCCAATGCATTACCCTTTGCATGTTTGCTGTAAGTGGAACATTTTGAAATGTCAGAATTTCAAAAGTGAAAAGCTTTAAAAACTTTAAAGACAATAAAACTTTTCACTTTTGAAGATCTGACATAACTTCCCAATTTTTATATACTGACTTTAGAAATCTGAGCTCTGCTCTAAACTTGTATCTTAAATTACGGTAGTTTTTATGTTTTTACTCTAATGTTCTACTAATCTCGGCTTGAATATTTCTCCTTTTGGAGCTTAATATGGCTCCGTGTTCACAGCAGTTTTTATTTCCGGACTTTCAAGCTTCTTCACTGTAGAAAGCAGATTGAAAGGAGAAACAGAGAAATAGTTTCATGCCCATCATATTGTCCCACTGTAATCTAAAATTCTAAGAATACAGAAATTCAAAATCTTTTATTTTGGATTCTACCAGTTTGATTTTTGGTTCAATTTTCCTTATCTGTAGTTTTAAGTTCTTAAAGCTAGAAGATATCAACAGGGCCATTCCCCCAAGATGTAACTCCCCAAACCACTCTTTTCATATAATAGCACAAAACAGTTGCCAGATTATAGGGCTGGTGGAAAAGGTTTTCGTGTGTGTGTGTGTTTATAAAGAAATAAATCTTATTTAGGAAAAATACTTTTATTTTTCCAAAATATGTTTAGATAGATTGCAACAAGAACAAAGTACAGTACAAAAATGACCCACAGCTTTCAATACTCATAAACCAATATTCAAATTCCCACCTTTTGTTAAAGGTTCTGTTTGGGTCCAATATACATTTTTCATATTACAGAGGTAATGCCCACTCTACAGTAGCACTGGATAAAGTTTGTAAGACCATTATAACATAGTCACTAGTACTTGCCATATAACATACCAGCCTTTGCCATGGATTCATTTTACCACGAACACATTTCAGTGACTGTAACTCAAAGTCCAGTACAAGTCACCTTACCTACATCAGCAGTTCTGGATTAATTTTAGGGAGTTTGCCTGACATGAAAAAGCCTGGATAAGGCTTTTTATCCCAACACAAATCTTTAGTACCAGTTACTCTGAATATCCATGCCCATTTGTGACAATTTCCTCTTTCCAGAATGGAGCAGCTGCACTAAATGTAATGGCACCAATTGAACGTACTTTCTTCCTCAAAGCTGGTACAGCTTCTTTGCTACCTTTCAGTTGTAACCAGCTGTAAACTGTAGCATGTGGCATGCCAAGCAAACCTGACAGGAATACACAGAATCATTTGAAAACTGCAAGGAGATTTCTCCTGTCTATCCTKGAAGAGGTAGATAGAAGAAACCAGTACAGGCTGTGATCTCTTCTGCAGCCTTCTATCATTAAAAGAAATTAAAAGTAGGTAGTTTTTCTCCTCTGTAAAATTATAATTTAGCCAACTTGAACAGGAGTGAAACATTTGACAAATTCTATACACATACAGTGTATGAACCTGAAATTATTGTTCCAGCTTGTATTTTAATTTCCATGCCAGTAATATCTCTGCAATTACCTGAAGAATCTTATGTTTTTATTGTGATCATTTGTCTGCACTGCAAGTCTCATTTTGGTCAATCCTGTTTCCCTTCTCTATCTAAACCTTTCAGAAAAAAAGCTAAGAGTGAAGCCTGTAGATAGATACACATAATGACAAGTAGAACATCCACTGTGCTTAAGGCTTGAGGGCATGGGAAGAGGGGCACAGGAATGTAAGAGGCACCTGTGTCCCATGCACTGGAGCACAGTGCAGGAAGCCCCAAGCCAGCTGAGACTCTGGCCAGTCATTCCACGCAGCACAATAGCAGCATTGTGTTCGCACACAATACAGGCCTAAACAGCCTGAAGGCAGCTGTATTGTTTACATGCAGCAAGCTTGGGTACCTTTGCACTGGGATCATGGTTGTTTTTCCTGGTTCCAGAAGAAGCACATGGGAAGACAGGCTCTCACATGGTTGTATCAGATCTCTGCAGTGTTTTCTGTCACGGTATTTCAGAAAGTCTGCAGATACTTTATCTTATTGTTTTACTCAGGTTGGAAAATCCAACACCGACACACGTCATTAAGACTTTTGCGCCCCCCTTGTGCTCCTCCTCCTCAGGGGACTTTGTTTCAATTTTAAACATGATCTGGAAGAAGCTCCTCAGGTGTCGCAGAAACTCAATTCTGAAAGAGAGAAAACAACAGAGCATAAGAAACAAAACAAAAACAGCGCATTAAGAGTATGTTCTATCATTGACTCCAGCGAGGAACACGAGGCCTGGCTCTGTGAATTCACGATACAGAGAAATGAGTCTACAGGACCAAAAACAAAAAAGAGTTCTCACTTGCATAATGGAGGTGGCTAGCGTGCCCCTGCTGAAATTACTGCTGTCCCTCTGGAAGCAGAGGGAAAAGGAATAAGTTTTAACAGAGCAAGGCAAAATAGCAAGGGAGGAAGAAGGGAGGAGAAAGAGGAGATATGGCCAAGTGAGGTCATCTGCCCAGGAGGCTGACCCTCCCTCTCAGACAGAAGAAACTGACCAACTCCTCCCCACTCCTGTTGTTTTAAGCAGAAATAGAGATATGCCAAAGGTTGGCCTTGGGGGCATGTTTGAAAGTGAGAGGTATCARATCCTAAAGTCTGTGTTTGATATGTGTTACAAACTCCAATGCTAAGCTATCGGTTCTTTAAACTCCCTTTCAGACCCGGACTGTGCCTGTTCCCTTTCTTCATAGCAACAACAACACTTTTCTTTCCTCATTCTAGAATTAGAGGCATTAAGAAACTGAATAGACACAATGGTCCTAAACACAGACTGGCTGGAGGGCGAGTGATAGAAACATTAACGAGCAGTATAAAAAAAGGAGATGAAGAGAACATTTCTGCTGACCTTCCTGAAACAGGGAACAAACAATTGCACTGAAAAGCTACAAATGGAGCACTGCTAATTGCACATGACAGGATTCTGGTCTCTCCTGGCCAGGGTCAGTAAAAGTCTGAACACTCCAACTAAGGCTTAATCTCTTACAGCAATTGGCATGTGCCCTTGTTAGATGAATTTTAACCTTTGAAGAAAGGGTACTTCACATCCATTCCACACATTTGTTTGACTGGCAACCTGGAAAAAGCCACTGCCGTGCAAGCTAAGAGCATGACGGTCACACTTACGTCATGACCCTAAATTAAGGGAAAGAACTCACAAAAATGGGAGCAGGAAGCCGAGGAGTATGGCAGCACCTACTGCAACATCACCAAGCCTCAGAAGGCYTCCTGGCAGCTCCCGTTTCCAAAACTTCGGGACTCTCCAAGCACCTAGCACAGAGAAAGCTTTTCAAGCAGGAGCCCACTGGGGAGAACCTCCAGTGACCGTGAAAGAAGAATTGCTACATACACCTTTCTACTCTGCTGTTGGGTCAGTGACAAGCCCAATGCAGACAGCGCAGCTCACATCTCTCAGAGACCGGAGTGTCTTATCCTCGTCAAGTCCCCAGCTGCACGGTTGCTATAAAAGGCAAATGGGCACACGCTGGCACAAAGGCTTCAATAAAGCTGACAGGCAACAAGCCCCACAGCGAGCTCCCCTGTGAGCTGGGCCCCTGCCCATAGCCCTGGCAGCGGGCCAAGGCGCAGGGAAGCCCAACACAGGAGGAGCAGCAGCGCGGAGCCGCGAGGACGGCGGGTGCCAGGGGCAGCGYGGGGCCACGGCCGGGACGCAGCCCCACGGGCCGCATGGTGCAGCGCGTCTTGCCATCAGCTCCCTCCGGGCCTGTGCGCTCCATCCGGCTTCCTCCGCTGGAATAACGGCAGGGCATGGGGAAGGAAAAGCAACGGGGCTTGGCCACAGCCTCCAGGTAAATCAGATGAGGGAGGGGAATGGGAGAGAAGAGGCGTCYGTCCAGGAACGCTGCGGGCGCATGAAGTTGGCTCTGCCGGTGAAAGCGCAGGGGGCAGCRGCTCCGCAAGAGGAGGAAAGCGGAAAAAGTGTGTGTGACGAGGTGAGACGAGGMGGCTGCATTAGCTTGGGGCCCACGAGGACCGGGTGGAGTTTTGCCTTCCAAATGCCAAGTGCAGCACCAAACACGCACAGATAGAATGGGACAACTAAAGGTAAAAAGCAGTTCTATTTCAACCAAATATGTTCAACTTGTACTTTGAGCAAGGACATGGCAGAGCTGAACATCTCTCCAGACCTATGGAGAGCAAAATGAGCCACATGAATGATTTTCCTGAGGGATAAACACAGATAGAGAGACAGAAAGACGGACAGAATCATTAAAAAATCTGTTTATATAACTGTCCTCTTTTTCCCAGGAGCTTATTAGGTGACACAAAGAAGTACACGTCCACTTCACACATTTTTGCCTGCTATCGGGACAAAGTGACCAGCTGGCAAATCACAGCTGCCAGCGAGGCCCACGGCGCTGTCAACGGGCTATTCATCCACGCTAAAAATAGCGCTCTCCACGCGGCGCTCAGGGCAGCGGCACCGGGACAGGCGCTGATGCCGATGCCGAGGCGGGGGCTGCGGCAGCGCCCACCCCCCGAGGTGCTCCCGCTCCGCACCGGGTGGCTCGGGAGCACGCGYGGCCCCAGGGGCACCCCATGCTGCTCCCCACAGCTGGGTGCCCGGGATGCCAGCACCCGCAGGGGCGGCACTGCCAACAGGCAGGTCGCTGGGCCTCCACGTGGGAGCGTTTGGGCTGTGCTGGGCACAGCAACGCTGCAGGGACCCGAGGATGGCGAGTCAGGCGTGCGCCAATGGGCTGCTGCTTTCTGGTGGTTTCCACAGGAATGGGGGCGGGAAAGGGCAGCAGAGAAAAGGCAGCAGCAGCCACAGATGGGCATGAGCAGAGATCGTCTCCTCCTGCTCGTCTCCTGTCTAGTCTCAAGCTGAGACTTCTGCTCTGCCTCATGCCGTAGTCCTCTACTCACTTTGCGTGGTCCTGTACTGTGCACTGAAGTTCCCAAGCAGTTAAAAATACAGTTTATAAAAACATATAAAAAATACAGTTTGTTCAACYTTCTCTAGGGGATGCAGCAGAATTTTCTTCTCCTTTCTTTTCGAAGGCCACTGATTCCTGCCACAACCATTGTCCTTTGCTCTCCCTCTCGAATTCTCTGGTTCTCCTGTGCCACCTCCCATTCACTGGGATGCAGAGCAGACTGGTCTGATCAGCTCCAGTCTCTGGCAGGGTTTTAGAAGGCTACTGTGTGCAGATCAGTGTGGTGGCAACACAGCCAGCACCCTGCATTTGATTTTAAGTTCAGCTCAACCGACAGGTGCCTGCTCCTGCAGCACCAGGAATATGAACCAAGAGGAGAAAACTCAGACAAGCACAGGCCAAGTGGTGGGTCCCAGCACCACGCAGGAGCGCTGTGCTCAGGGCATGGTCCCCACAAAGGCAGCAGGGGCAGAGCAGTGGCTTTCAGGTAAAKACAAAGTTAAACTTGGCCCGTGCTTTCTCATCCAGACAGACACAATCCCAATCACCACATACCCACACAAAGCTCTAACCCACCATCTGAATGGCCACATTTGTGCTGCATGGTGCTAGACAGAGAAGTCACTCCACTGAAAACACTTATAAACAGTTCTGGGCTCTGAGKTAGAAAAGCGAAAACACAGAGACCATGCCACAGTCCCAGGAAGAGAGAAGCACCAGGAAAGAAGAGTAGGGACAACAAAGTGGAACACGATGCTACTGTAATTTAGTCCAAAAATGCTCTCCAAAGTTGTGCATCTGTCAAGCAGCTCTGGGGCCTTCCCAACCCTTAACTGGCTGCACCAGCGAGGGCAAGCGGTGCTGCAGACAGTGACACCATCCCACATGACACACACAGCTCCAAGTCTGCTGCTGACCTTCATCCGGCCACCTACCCACAGCCTGGGGGATGCAGGGCCCAGGGGAAACCTACCTACTTAAAACTATGTGTTCACTTGGCTTCCATAGCACTGTATTGTTTCATTTTCATATCCTTAACCATGCACTTCAGCAGCTGCCATGCATTCTTCCTAAACCTTATTTTCAGGAATTTTCCCCTGTGTCATGGGAGGCTTCCCCTTCTCCCCCTCAAAGTCTGATGGATGTTGTTTTCAAGGGGCTGCTAGCACTGAGGTGATTTCTAGCTATCACGTGATGGCACCACCATTCTTCAGTTATCACAGTACTGTACCTTTCACATATACAGCACCGGTACCATGATAACCGAAAAAGGACAGTTCATGGTCTCATCTTTGGTTATCACGGTCCAGTAAAGCGCCCTCCACCCCTGTCCTGCTCTCAAGGAAACAATTTTGTCTTGGAGTAGCTGTGGTCTAGACAACCACTTGCAAGGCTGCTAAAGAAATTCTCAACACATTATCCTAACCTGTGTGTTGCAGCTAGCAATGTGAGAAGAAACGTAGCATTTTTCTGTCCTCTAAACCACTACCAGCCACAGACAGAACGTGAGTAAAAACTGATGCTAAAAGAAAAAATAGCAGTCTGCTGCATGAGAGGGCTGAAGCTCTGTCGTTGCAGGCAATCCACGACTTAACTCCAGAGCCCTCTCCTTTGGGCTGCCGTGTCTTTGGCAAGTGTGAGCCATTCAAAACACGGTGTCCCACTTGCTGCCAGGGCTGCACGGGGCTGGCTCGGAAAGCAGCCCCCTGCTTTCCGCACACACGGCAGCATGTGCGAGGCAACACGGGGCCGAGCACAGCGACATCCCGCCCGAAGGCCAGGGCTGGGATCAGCCCCATCTCTGTGGCTTTAACTGCCTCACAACCAGGAGGGTCTGTAACGGCGAGGAAACCATCCTCCAACCTGCACAAATAAACACAGGGTAATTCAGCTACGTGTCTCTTCTGAAGACAGCACAAGCTGTTCTCCTCAGAGCCACAGGCATCGTCTTCCATATACAAGAACTAGCTGTGTGGTGTAAGTAGCAAATTAAATGAGACCGAGTAATTAAACTGAACGAAATGACTTACGTGTATGGAGATAGAGGTCCCAACAGGACTTTGGAAACATCCTGTTGTCCAAGGGTCATGAGGAGCAGAGCAAGGCTCTGGTTTGTTGAATCTACACAGCCTCCCTGCAAACCAAAATGTTTTAATAATTAATCTCTGTACAAACCAGAAATTGGGATGGGAGGAGATTAATAGAGGAGAAAGATTCACTTAAAGTGCAGAATAAGCACCATAATGCTCTCAACTTTTAAGAGCCAAAAATGTAAAAATGTAGACTTTGTAACAACAACATTAATTTCATGACGCAGGTTGGGAAAAGTAGGAAAAAGAAAAKAATCCATAAATGTCAAGTTAAAGAATCTTCTTCACTCTGCCAACCTGCTCCCCTCTAACATCACAGAATAAAAGCAGTGAAGAATTTCTGAACTTTAATGACAGCTTCAGTAAGAAGGGAGAAGTAAACTTCTGAATTTCATTTTTTATGGCCAGCTAAAAAGAGATGGGACTTTATAGTTCACAGGCATTTGAAGACTCTTGATGTATCTGAATTGCAGTGCTTTTAACATTTTAACAGTGACATTTGGACAAATACTGCCCCTGTAACAGCCTTGAAATAACAAGTTAAATTTTGTTTCCTGTACTGCCACCAAAATCCCTACTGACWGTTTTTGTGCTTTATATTTGCATTCCCCTCCTACATTTATAACAGAAAGAAGTGCGTTCCTGTGTAAAAATCACACACAAAATTATGCAGAACTATAAATACTACACTCAAAATAAGTGCAGAAATATGTGCAGGGTAAAATGTTTTGTATGTGTGTGTGGGTAACTATAATGAATATATAAACTGGAATTTGAAGCCGGGTTTGTTTACAAAGTCTGAAAATAAAATTTAAAATAATTTAAAAATAATATATTAATTCAAGATTTATGTAGGCAGAATTTATCAATTATGACATCAAACACATTGAAAATACAAAGAACATTATGCCAGTTATTTTCTATTTTCCTCATATTCATTCTGGTCCAAGGCCATAAAAAAATTGAACAGTTTCCAACTGAGTCTGAGGCCTAATGCTGAACACTCTGAACAAAATCTCTAGGCAGCAAAACTGACAAGTAACCCTTTTAAACTCTGTAACATGGCATACCAACAGCCTTGTGGGCAAAGAGCAGTCTGTTACCATTTTAAGAGGTATCACTACTCTCCAAAAAGGCAAGTGAGGGACAGAAYGAAGCTAGGAATACGAAGATTAGAAAGCACAACGTGACAACTTCAGCGCATTTACTCAGCGAGAAGGCAGAAAGAAGGATCTTTCCAAGACTTTGGAAGTTCTGTAAGTAAACCTTACTGAAAAAGGTTTACTTCTATTTTCTAGACAGCCTTGTTTTCTTCTATTTTCTAGACAGCTTTGCCTCAGTGTGACAAGTCTCAATGCTGCTGTTAAAAAAACAAATTTATTTCATGCAATGAAAGATGCACCTTCATTGCACACCAGGTCCATRGCCTGCACCAGGTCCCAGCAGGTGCTCTGCTCTCCTGCAGCAGCACCTTTGGTGCTAACCGTGCAATACGACCACACAATGTGAGGTTGATGCATTCCACCTAATGTCCTAYGGGAATGAGGAAAACTGCTCCACTTTCAGGGAACAGGATACCTGTCGAAATTGCTGGTGCCACCTAGAGCATGGTTCTCACCAGCTGCATCAGCAAATCTGAAACCTCTCCAAGAAGCAGCTGGGAGTTTGGTAAGGAGCATTTCAGACACAAGTTCTCTACATTTACAGTTGGTCAGCCACTGGCAATGCTTGTCACCGCTCGCACGAAGACATTACCTCTTCTAGGCTTGTTTTTGTGCGCGTGTTTTGTTTTGCTTTCAAGCTGAAAACATGATAAAACACCTGTTTATAGGACCCACATTATACAAAGGCCTCAGCCAGCACAGAGACAACCAGGTCCTGCACAACACAGCAAAACATGATGTATCCGTTGCGTCTCAGCCACTTACATAAGTCTCTCCTCCTGTAGTGAGTCMGAGTCATCCCTTCCATTGCTGAGTATTCGCAACGCACTGTTAGGCCCACTCCCACATAAGCAGTTGCCATACAGGTAAATTAAATGATTTGCCTGTAATCAAACCCCAAGAGAGCTATAACTTATGTCTAATAAGTTATAACAAACAAATGATTCTCCCAAGGAGATTGGCTTTCTTCCTCTCAATCCGCTGCTGCTTATTCAAGTGTCCAAAATGAAAGCAATCTTCCCACCAGAAATGGGATGGGTGAAGTCACAGCCAAAGTACCAACATTTGTTCCAAACTGACTGGCACTCATTAGCAGTTTAGGAAGCAGCTTCTAGTCCATATTACTTCAATTTATGGCAGCTTCTCCATTATTGTTTCCATTGACAACACAGCCAGTTCCAGCACACAAGTGGAGACGCAGATTGCTTAAAACGTAGTCTGTTTTGAAATGTGGCAATACAAATACTACAGCTTACATACAGGCACAGAATTGATTTCAGATACTGAATGGTGTTTAAAGAAGGACTAGTCTTCTGAGCTCGACTCTAAGTTTGATTTAGTCTCGGCTGTGTTTTGGCATAAGCACAATSTCCTCACTTGCCAAGGCATATACACTCGTGGTTCAAGAAACCTGAGCTGCTTTAGTCAKCTTACCTCTGGTTAAATAAGACAACAGTCCTGCTCCTCCTGCCCTTTCAAGCCCCCATAACAACTCACCCTTGCCTTTTGAAGTATCTCAGCTTTCAATGGGCACTGCACCCTCCTATGGTTCTCCTGACTGCAAGAAATACAAACTTTGGAGCCATTCCAGTTCTTCCAGGCTTTCTCATTCTGTTACTCACCTTTTACATGAAGTTCCTATAAACTAGCACTTTCCAAAGACAAGGGAAAAGTTCATTCTGTCCTTCAATAAGTAAATTCAGGTACGATTTGTAAAGACACTACATGCTTTTCTTCCAGGGCCACTGTTATTAGCTCTGTGCCAGTTGTTACTGGTCTATTAGCCCTGACAACCTTCAGTCAATAAATATACATAAAACTAGCTCCACTGATTCTGAACAGCATGTCTTCTTAAATTTCCTTTTGAAAACTTAGGATAAGGAACCATTTAGCATCAAGCTGTTGCTGTAGCAGATGCCTCATGGCCATTTAAACAACACCAAACTCTGGTAGGCCAGTGGGTGACTTTGACAGCTAAACCCTCCTGCAGCAAATCATTTCCAACATTCCCAAGATGCCCCTTTCTGATCAGCCTTGTCCCCAGCTCTTGGAGCACAGCATGGATAGGCAAAGACCCAGTGAGAAATAGTCTTAGGCAGTAAAACTCATCCCCAATAGGGGATCTAAGCACATGGAAAGATTTTACTCTTTAACCCTGTATTCAGGGCTCTAGGATTRTCTGCTCAGGGCAGCCTGTTCTTGTCTCAGGCAGGGCTTAGCTGGGATGCAAATTTTATATATTTCACTAGACAGCTAATCCATAAGTCTAGTGAAAGAAACTTAAACAGTTTATTCAAAACAAGCAAACACTGCACACTTCACAAGCTGCTTCRATATCCTCCCTGTGGTCAACTGATCATGGCCTTTCCAGACCTCCACATTTTTCAGGTTCTCTGCCATCTACCTGTGAAGGAAATGTAATACCTGTATAAACTCCCTCACTTGTTTCAAACTAGCAAGTGTGGCACRGTTTCCAAAGGAAAACATGTGCTGATAAAAACACACAGAAATGGCATTGTTCATGCCTGCCATCATCTCACTACATAAACATCTTTTCCAAGATTTATGCAAAGCAACAAGATGYATTGAATTTTAGTCCTTTTTCCAAAGACTGAAGCTGTGATATTTTACAGTTTATGCCATTTAAAATAAATATCTGGTGATTATCAAACTCGATCGCTCTTAGAAACACATGGATGTTTCAAAGTGAGTACCTGTTAGTTCTTCATGTATATTCAGTGCTGAGCATTTGAATGCAAGGAAATGCAACTGTCCTCAGGAATAGCATTTTTAATAGCATCTCTGTTAGGCAAAAACCCTGGGTTAGATACAATCCCTTGCCATTTTGCASACAACCACACGACCAGCCTGGAGAGTMTGCAGAGTTGCTGCAATCCTGTATCTATACTGATAGTCCATGGGCGTCTGGATGACACTGTCCTTCACAAGCAGCCATGCAGCTCAGCTTGGGAAGGAAAACAGCATCTCTTCTACTGCTTGCAGTAGAAGGGAAGGACTGACCATYTCCCTGGGGGATCCAGGATTGTTTCATGACAGAAGGAAAGGCCAGATCAAAGCCTATTCGTAGCACCTAGATGCTTCCATTTACCCTAAAGATTACCTTGTAATTACCTTTAGATTACCTTGTAATCTAAAATGTACYAWWTRGTACATTTTAGATTAACATTTTAGATTACAAGTTTTAGTTATACGCGTAGTGCAGAATGGAACATTTTCCTTCAGGAATGTCACAATTATATTTGAGCTCCAGCATATATTGAAGAATTAGAGACAAAATATTAATGGAGGACCTATCTGGAAATCCTATCAGGTTACTTCCAATTYAAAACAATTACTTTCTTAAGTCCCAAGCATACAATTTGTAGGTGGCTGCCTCCTAAAGGCCAAAGATGCATTGTCAATACTAACAGTCACTTATTTTGAAATTTGTTGAGATACACAACAAAACCAGATATGTTCTTTATTAAATCAGAAACTCTCACTAAATCATTAATGAGACTAAAAGCTGAGATTAAAACCTAAAACCTCACGACAAATGAAAATAAGCACTTCTAATAAAAAAAAAAAAAAAAAAAAAAAGTGTCCTAGCTCCGTTCAAATGAGCCACTTGGCTAATCCCTCACACAAATATCAGATCTCAACATATTTGACTTTGCAATCATCACAGTAAAGCAGCCAACATTGGCTGCTCTTTTTCTTTCTTCCTCACACCTCCATCCACTCACGATGTCCTATTTCCATCACTACTTTCAGAGGCCATGACTCTGTTATAACTCTACCTTATTACCAAAAAAAATCAAAAAACACCAAACAAACAAACAAAAAATCCCCCCCAAACCCAAAATAATACAGCCCATCTAAAACTAACCCTCACGTGCAACAAAAGCACAGTTTGTCCCTTATGTGACTCAGTAACTCACATAGGAAACAGCGCGGCACAAAAATCATTACACTGTTCATAGCAGAATCCAATAACTCTTCTCACCTGGATTAGGAGGATTAGGACGATGCTGGCCACATCAGATCGTTTCCCTGGCTGGATCTAGGGCAGCCTGAGGGTGCTCTCAAGTCGYCTGCACCCTCCGGTCACCACCACCCCCTTACCCTGTTACACACAGGCTACCCTGGCCACTTACCCTGTAGATCTCCTCCAGCAGCAGCTTCGCACAGCTCYGGCCCAGTTCCTCAGGCAACACAGCAGCACCCTGGCCCTGAGGGTTCGAGGCCAGCTCAGCGCTGAGGAAAGTGCCATTGATGGTTTCTGCAACAAGGCTTAGTCCAAAACCTGGGGATCTGAAAGAAAGGGAAAGGGAACTGCACTTGATGCAAGAACAAAATTGGATAACAAGCCATGAACAGTTCTAGTCAACCTCTCTTCAAATCATTAGCAGTCTAATGGGACAACTCCATGAATATGGATTTTCTGAGAAACTCCATGCTCCATACATTTGATTTACACTGAGGAAAAAATATTAACAGGAGTATTTCAAAGTTAAAACCAGTAACACTTGGTCCAAATCCACTGTGCTGGTCATTTCCTGAATAACAATTCTTTAAAATGAAGAAAATGAAACCACCCCCCCAAAAAAATATATCCATATTGATTACAGTCTTCTTCATCTTTCACATTCTCTTAATTCATGTTTGATGAACATTTCTAGAGTATCTGGAATTTCTTCTTCGTAAAGTAAAGCAAAGCAAAAAATACATGACAGTTTTCCTGAAGGATCCATTTTCTTCTCCGCAAGTTTCAATATTAGCAAGATCAGTACATAACCATGGAACTGGGTTTACAAAAAACAAACAAACAAAAAAACCCTCTGATCTGATATCACTATCACTTACAATTCCAAGCACTTCTTTTCGCTTAAAGTTTGATACAAGCCAAATTGTTACAGCCACTTAGGAATTCTGAGCATATTTGAAGAAAACCAAAAGCACCTATTTCCCTCAGACTTCGTTATATCACAAAATGCTGTTGTGAGTATTAGAAATGTCTACTACAAGTCCCAGATGACTGAATATACTTTGCTGAGAAATTGTAACAAAGGAAAACCACAGGATCCTCTCATTCATGGGTCCCAAAGGAACACCAAAAGCTAGCCACTCAAAACAAGGTTAGCTTAACTTTTCTCCACATACAGTGCTTTGAAAAGTTGTTTGGCTGTCTTCACTACCACWCTTCTTAATTAAAATAGTCTCGGTGACCCAAAAGCTAAGGAATGTCGGCAACATCAACGATAGACAAAAACAAATCCCAAGCACCAGTGCACACAAACTGATATACTACTAGAAAAACAAAAACAAAAGTTCTTCTAAAAGTATTTCAGTAGGGCAGGAATGAAAAGGTATTAGTGTTTCCCACCCAAACAGTAATAAGTCTGCAAATAAGTTTGGGTGGGAAACACTAATACCTTTACTAATTTGCAGTCTGTATTTGCAGAGCAGCATGAAAGGGATGGTAAAGATGTGTCTCAAATGTCTACTAACCAAGCAGCAACAGGGTCAAAGACACAGCTTCTTAAAAGCTGCAGTTTGGAGAATTGTGCCCTGATAAACACAGCCCCTAGCAAGTTTTCTTAATATTTAGGTGCAAGTGGTAATCTGCCCAAGTAAAAGTTAAAATCCTCCAGGACCTTCTGCATGTGTAGACAATATTGGCTACCGTCAACCCAGACAAACAATTTCTGCTGCAAATTTTCAAAACAAAACCAGGAGGTCTCTGCTTTGATTAACAGCAGTAGCTGTAAGAGAAGGTCAGATACCGTATTTCCTGAAGATGTTCTCACTGCCTTAGAGCCCCGTGCAGCCCTTCCTGCTGTGAGAGCCATCCCCAGCCTGGGCTGGCACAGAGGGACCCCGCTAGTGTGCCCGCTCTTGCTCATTGCTCAGCACAGACAGCACTGCACACAACAAGTGTCTGCGTGCACACAACACGTGCCTCTTTCCCCCCGTCCTGCCGACACTAGCGCTAGGAGCCCTCCGGGACAAAGCTCTGCTGAAGCAGCATGACACTGGTACCAGGCGTCCTGCAAGCACCTCGGCACCACAGTCTGTTGAACATGACGGCAGGGCAGCAATAGGAAGACGTGAGCACCAGCATGGTGAGCAGGGGACTTCAGTTTCTCTTCCATTCTTCAGTACTCTGCATGGACTATGCAAGAAAACACTACACGTAATGGCACTGCCTTATTTCATTTTACACTTCCACTTAACAGATAAAAAACAAACAAACAAAATCCATCCTCAACCTCACACCTAACACAGAAGTGTTTCAAAATCCTGCTTACTGGTAAAAACTCAAAGCCACAAGATTTACAATCCTGGTATATTAATTACAACAAAGGACTGGAGAGGAAAATAAAATACTTTAGAGGTTTTTTCCTTTTCATGATTTTTTGTAGACTTGTAAACATAACAATTTATCTTTAAGGTAATACTTTAAAAGGCATTTAGATCCAATTTTCAGTAATGTCTCCAGAACCTAAATCTTCCTGAAATACACTTGAGATTTTTTCTGAGCACTTTAGCTCAACACCACATAAAACTGATATTACCATTTAACAGCACAAAACCATAACCGTTTAGAAGTGCCAAGTACACAGCACATTCCATTAACAGCAGTGGGTCAGCTAAACCATTTTTAGCAGATTTAAATGCTTACATGAACTCTGAAAGCATTGAGCATTTCTTGAAAAAAAAAGATGAAGTATTTGTTTTTTAGATGCTAGATGTAGATATAGCTGTTAAAGTCTAAGATCTTTATTCCTGAAATATCGGCCACAAAATTATTTACAGATTTTGTTCTCGCACCACCTCTTCCAGGAAAGAGATGCATTTTGTGTATATATATACGCACATACACACACACACACATATATATATATATGCACAACGCAAAACCTAGCTCAGAACAGCTTGTTCAAGATTATACAAGACCTCTGTGGCCATATGGCAAGAACCACATCTTGAGATGCCATCTACTGAGSAAATCTTTCCTAGTCACCCAGCTGATTCACCTCTATTCTTGCCTGTTCTACCCCAGGACAATCATATATACCTATGGCAATCATATATACCTATATAACTATCTCTTAGAAATTTCCAGAGATGAAGAGTCTTCCTGGCAATCCATTCTAACATATCAATAGCCCAATGGTTGTAGCTTTTTCCCAATTCTAAATCTCAAAGAACCTGGAAGACTTTACAGAGAGGAATTACAATACAGCAAATTTCTATGATAAAGCCATTTGATATTTTATAAACTTCACTGAGAAATAGTGAAACATCCAAGGATGTGAGGTCACTTGGACAGCACAAAACAGGTGTTAGAAGAATAAGAAAAGAAAAAGGAAAAAAAAGGAAAAAAATGAAGATAGGAAAAGTGTGTGAGCTTGGGTTTGAGCATATATAAAGACAAATTAGTCAGTTATCAGGATTTTCTCCAACCTCAGGTAACATTTTCCAACCTATAAGTGACAAGAGGACACGGAAAGCATGTCAGGAAAATTGCCTCAATTATATACATCACTTCTGTGTTTTTGAAAGAAAGAAAAATCTGTAGAATTACAGTAAATTTATGCCTCTTAACTGCCATCTAACGGGGATTCTACTCTACCAGTATAAGTACTGACACTCCTCCAAGTGTTTATGTCTTACTAAAGAATAGAACAGCCCACGTCAATCAGTATTTCAGAAAAGAGTTTAGTCCCATCCCAAATGCTACCATTTCCTTCAAGAAGTGTAAAATGAAATTCAAACATTAACTTCCTCATCATACCATGGCACTTAAAGACTAAAGAAGGTTCAGGTTTCCATTTAGCGGTAAAAATGGTAAATGTTTCCTTATTCAAGAAGGCACACAATTTTTGTCCCTGTACTATAATGAAAATACATTTAACTTGCAAATTATTCAATCTTTTTGCATCGTGAGGAATATTTATTCCAAGTCAGTAAAACAGAACAGCGTGTCCTGTAACAGATCAGAATAAACTACCAAAAAAGATGCAGATTTGTATTTCAATTAAGTATGAAAGTTGGATACTCACTTTCCAGAGCTGACTCCCTTCATATGATCTGTATAGATATAAATGTCCGGGAGGAACTTATTAAGGATGCTCCTTGCAGACTCCACTATTCTGTTTGCCATCTGTGGTGACACTCTGACGGAGTATCTACACCTTTCAGCTAAGGAATTCTTTGTAAATGCAGAGAAAAAAATAAGATGACGGTTTAAATGTCCCAATTTGGCCAACAGGTCCAAATGCATTACTTCAGACAACATGATTTTGCCTTAGATATCCGCCTGCAAATGGTCCACTTGCCACCCCAACCTATGCTTAAAGAAGTACATGTAGTCAGTGCTTTCACTGATAAATTGTTAAGTGAGACACACAAAAATGAACAGAACATCCTACTATGATGAGGTAAATGCCTAATTTAATGATGTCCTTTCAAGATTTTCAGGTCCTGTTCCAACATCCTTCACTTTCTTATGATGCAGGAAGCCCTGCTCTGCTTTTCCTGTAGTATTAAGAGACACTAACGGCTGAGTTTCTCCTGAATTAGCAGCAAGAAACCCAGTCCTTCCATTTTTATGTAACTGAAATTAAAGATAATTGGTAGAACGACTTCTGTGTTTTGACAGAGGTGACAGAAGCATAAAAAGGCACTTTCTCTTTGGAAAGGCCGTGACAAGCACTACCACAAGCACACTGAGCTGCCTCTGTTGTTCTTCTACACGCACCTTGAAAAAAAACCTCTCACGCCGCAGTATTTCAGTCATCCAAATTCTGCAGCTGCAGGGTGAGTTCAAAGCATCCTGTTCTTACAACTACAAGAGCACATTATAAGGTAAACAGAGGGCCAGGCTCCAAGCCTGCACCTCTGGCAGGCAACCTGCTCCATTCTTCCTTTACACTCAAGCTGATCGAAGCCAGATCTCTCATAATTATGAGTTGAGCTCCATGATGGCCAATGCTCAAGAGAGAACAGGGCCCCATGAAATAAAAGCTTCAGCATTCCTGCCTGTAAGTGGTATCTGCTTTCTTCCCATGGGGACAGGAGATTCATGAAAGATACAGCACAGAAACAACAACAGAGAAGGGAAACAACAACGGCAATATTAACAGTATGTGGAATTCTCTTTGTAAAAGTCATCACTCTACAACAGTATTGTGTGCTCTTTTCTTTCTAAGGGAAACCCATTCTCCCCTACTTCCATCTCCAGCAGTAGCTGAAGGCTAAAGGAATAACAAACTGCTTTTTGTAACACAACAAATAACTCTATTCACTTGTGCAGTGAGGTGTAAATGGAACTTAAATTACAGCACTGGTCATGCAGCTATGATCATTAACAGACACGATGCCCCTATGCAGCGTGGAGCGCAGCTCTCTTCTGCRCACAGCATCTTTGAGATGCAATGCTGAGACCTAGCTGTCTGTGTGATCCCTCTATACAATATCTGCAAGGTTTCCAAAAGATACGCTGTCCCCCTGATGCGCTTGATTTTGCCAGGGTCTGTGAGTTGAATGGGCTGCAGGACCTTCTTCACCGGGCAGGCAAACACTATCTCTCCACCGCCCTTGGGAGGCATTCCTCTCCGGTTGATCTAGGAACAATAATGAAGGAGAAAGAGGCTTCGTAAAGAGCAGAAATAATGTACTTATACATTAAAGAGTGTTGAATCTTATTACATGTATAATAAGATCTTAGCAGTAGTGATATTATATGAGTACAAGTGAGGAAAAAAAAATTCTGAAAAGAAATGAATTTTACACCAAAGTGACCAGCACTRCTGTGGTGTCACAGGGATAAGACTGGTAGGCTGGACTGGGCTCAGATGGGGCTGAGCTCTRCAGGGAAAACCCTGAGAAGCAAAAGGGAGGCCAAGTGGTGCCTTGGCAGGTTTTATTACTATTATTGGCATTATTATYGTTACAGCTATTTGCTTTCTTCTTTCTAGTTTTTAATTCCCCCTCAGCCTAGATGTCTATTCTATATCCAGGTTTGTTGTGCACAAACTTTAGAAAAATTAGATTTTTTTACCTTGATTTCCAGACTTTCACCATCAATTCCAAATTTCTTCAGTAGGGGTAGAGCTGTTGCCTTAAGGANAAAAAAAAAAAAAAAAAAAAAGACTATATATTGAAAGGCATGTAAGTTAATAATTTAAAAGCCCTTGAATTATGAACTGCATAGCAGGGTAAGGCTTTCTCAGACTTGGTATTCTATCAGCAGACATGGGAGTGCAGCATGAAAAGCTCCAACTACTCTTAGATTACCATAAGATCTCATTACTCACGAACTTTGCCAAAATAAACTAGTGGGAGACAAAATTTCCTACTCTGGATTTCTTCTGCAGTCTGATTCTTATTTTTCTTATGTTTCAGCTAAGACAGTTCATTTGTTTCTCTGAACACAGTAATTGAAAATAATTATTCTTTTGTACTTGTTAAAAAATTCTTGATCAAACCCAATCTCTGAGGAGCTAAGAAACCTCCACATTTTGGAGCAGGTCATTGACTTGGCAGGAGGAATCTCAACCTTGCATCAAGAACTCCTCAGCACTTCCTAAAAAACACAAGTCTCCAGGTAATTTCTGTTGACAGAAGAACCTGATTAAGTGTGTGGCAAATCATCCCTGTATTCGCTCTGAGCTGGGTGCTTGCTAAATCCAGGTCTGAGCAGGGCTTTCCTTGCGTCTGCTATTCCTGGCTGCTGAACTAAGACAGTGACGACTGTCCTTTGACTGTCTTCTTCCTTCTGCTGCCACTTCTGCATTACTGAAAGGGACAGGAATAATCTTTGCAATAAGAACAGGGAATTACCAGAAACAAGCACCTGGGGAGCATGATCAAAGAGGAGCTAAAATTCGGATGCAGAAGGAAAAGAAGGTACAGTAGACGGTGGCAGAGAAAACAAAAAAAATGAGCATCTTCCTTTCCAAAGCTTCAATCAGGACCCAATTTTCTTCTGTYTGCTTTCTGAAATAAGATGCAAGCCACCAACAAAGTACTAGCTTATACTTCATGTGCAAAGCTGCAAACAAGCTGTTAGAGCAACCTGCGTTGCTACAAACCTAGGCTGCAGTTCTCCTGCTTCAAATCCTGCTGGTTAAAATGCCTTTTTTTTTTTTTTTTTTTTTTTTTTTCCTCTCTCTGAGTTTAGGGCAGATAGGGGCATTTTTAAATGGCAGGAAGTAGTATCAATGTGTTAATGTCATTAAAAAACCCTTTGTCAAGGATTAGCTTTTTTTATTTATATTTTTAATGCCAGGTATGTCCATGCTGCCTTATGTCACCCCTGAAATAGCATTCATTAACTGCAGTCGGATTTGATTTTTAGAGCACAAGCCTTTAACATGCAAGCAGACACACACAGACACAGGTGAGCACCACTGGCAGAAGTCCTAAAAGTCTGACAAGTTAATCTGTTTTGCATAAGAACTGCAGAGTATTTCTCCCTCTTCGTAATGAAAAAAAATATACACCAGCTAAAAGCAGTTTCACCAGACAAGTTACAACTCCCTTCCCATTCTGCATTTCCACTTTTGTAATCTCTGGACTAAAGTCTGTGTCTATGGAAAAGCATGTTATGACCACATCAGAAAACTGGGTCAACTTTGAGTCTGGTTTGTCTGTTTCCAAAAATTCCAAGAGTTATCATAGCCTTTGTAGTCCTTTTATGAGTTGCAGGCATAATGCTCATCAGACACCAGGCAGACATACAGCAAGAGACTGTTTCTGTTCCAAGTTTATAGCCCTAGCAGAGAAGGTAACTAGCAGTATTTTAAGAATGGGAGAAGGCTGCCCTGCTCGACAGACATATGGGATCTCAAGTCGGAGGGTTTTCAAACTCTACCCCAAACTACAGGACTGCAGCCAAACTGAGACATGTGCCTGTATTTCCCAGGTCCCTGTCTACCACTCACACAACCAAACTTCAGCTCTCCTTGATGGGCAGTTGTTCCTTCTTCAAAGGCGACAACACAACACCAAGTTGTACTTTTTTTTYCCTGTGCTTTGGCACAGCCAGAGTATTCCTCACCACAGAAGCCATGAATTTGCTAAGCACCATAGGCATTATCTGTTCAAAAACCAAATTAGTAAATATTTTTAGAAGAAATTCACAACAACTAAAAATCTAAAAGCACATGAACCAAAACAAAATAAACAGGCAAAAAAACCCAGACCCAACAGCAGCTGATTGTCCCTTTCCTAGGTAGCCATTAGTCACTGTACACAGGCMACCAGCACTGCTTGGAAGATCATTCGCCCCCATGCCATACATACAGCATTATGTTTTGATGGCAGAAAGCTAGATGGATTTTTTGTACATTGCACAGATATAAAAACACACAGTCTAAAAACAACAGGGAGAAAAAAAAAAAAAAAACAGAAAACTCAGTAAGGAAAATTTTGTTTTCCTGGGATTACAGACAACTGCTGTTCCCAAGCCAAAACTTCATATGCTAGACCCATGCCAGCAAGAAAAGTCATTCCAGTTGAAAGTCCCAAGGCAAAGTAGTAAAAAAGCTTTAACACACATTCACAAATCCAAACAACATTACAGATTATTCTAAAACCAGGTTATTACAGAACCATGTATCTGCAGCTTGTCAGAAAAACAACATGAAAAGAAGGAAAGGAAAACTGGAGAAACCATTAGTGTGCCACCTCTACTTCCTTCAAAAACATGCTTTATAAAGCCATTCCCCACCWTGCACGCTCTCAGTGCAGAGAAGCCTGGAACTGCGTCAGTTCTGCGCACCGGTGCAAAACAGCTGGCCCACACGTCCAGGAGTCTACAGGCTGCACAGAAAGTCTTGATATATATGCAAGCTGCCAGGGAGTGGTTTGGTCTGTTGCTCCAWGTCATGGGAAGCCTCTTCCTGGCAGACACACGAGCAAGGAACCATTGCTCCTGCTCGTTGCAGACCCATCACCTGTGCACTACCATCAGCCCACTGCAACTTGCAGCAAGTRCACGTTACCCTGCCCTTAGCTCTCCCACTGCTGTTCTCCATTACCTCTAATGATGCCAGCTGTCAAACTCTTCCATTGCACCCCATCAGTGGGCAGCGGATGTACACACACAAGTGTGAGCATAAACACATACTCTAATATCCCCCGGGAGCCCTCAGCCTGACCTACGCCTCTCTGAAATCAGCCAAAGTCTTTCCTGCCCCAGGAAAGTTGCCCTTTGGAAACAGCTTTCCTCTCTCCTCGACAACATGCAGTGTCTCTACAGCAGGAGACGCATCATGTGCCCACTGTCCTCCTAACTCGGGCTCCCTGGGGAGGAGCAGCCTCCAGTCCAGCAAGGCAGCAATCGCATCTGACATAATTTTAAGGCTCTCTCCAGAGGAAAAGAGCGAGAGCAGTTTTCAGAAAGCCCACGTGATCAGCCAGCATTCCTGCTGCATCCCCTGTGGATACCTCCACGAGCAAATGTGGGGGACAGGCCCCTGCCATCCTGCCAGTTACAGAAACTGGCTTAGAAGAGACTCAGCAAAGTGCAGCGTACGGGAGGAAGTGGGATTGCACAGCTGAAGGGAGGGGAAGGGGCAGGACCACTCTCTCCTTTTAGGACAGCATTTAGACCTGTGCTTGTGGTCTTAACAACTTGCAGAGTAAACTGGATTTCATTACAGTGAGTTTGAGGACTTYCTCCTGTTTTTCCTACTTTTTTCTTTCTTTCTTCCTCATTGTAATAGCTGAGCTACTATAAAACCTTGCATAAAATTCCTTCCAATTAGTTTATCAGGCTGCACTGGTCCCATGTTTATTTATGTCAGTTAAAGAAACATTAGTCAGGTTCATACTAGTTTGCGGAATCAGTATCAAGCTATTGCCACTTAACAAGTTACTCTACAGCTGCCAAGCCGCTCTAACTACAACTGCATTTCTACAGCACTGCCAGCACTAAGATACAGCTGTCTGGCACAGACATCTGTCACCATGTGAGTGCACTCGATTTACACAAATCCAACAACACCTTCCTATGCCTGAGCTTTGTCCAGTGCAGCCCCCTTCAAGGAACAACTACCTGGCTCAGACTCKTGTGCCCTCTCACCTAGCATTACCTAATCTCTGTTGGCCCAAGCCAATAATGTCTGAGAAGGAATAATTTCCAGACTGAAGACTAAGCTGCTTAGATGTGTGTCCAAACTCACTTGAAAGCAACGTTCAAGTTGGACTGCTCTTCCTCTCTGCATTCTGCAAGGAAGACTCTCTCCACCAGGGTTAAAAGATGCAGTCAACCAAAAGAAACTGCTTTGGTTCTCACTATTTACCATTTTCTATCAAGTATCTTTAATCATGGTGACTGAGAGATTAGAGAAACACACGTTTTTCATTTACTATGATCCTTTAATTTACATTTTCTGGAAAGCACTGCGTATAAACCCATTTCAATTACCCTTTGGCTCATGTGGGTGTTTTGCAGTGCCACAGGGGAGAGAACATCTTTTTTAAAATGACAAGAAAGAGTAGTTGAAAAGCCATAAATACCAGCAGGACTCAGAGATTGGTCTAATAGCAGGTATTATACTTAATAGTATTTGTTTTCGTTTTAAATTGGTTAAACTTTCAGGTGACAGTGTACCATTAATCAACTCAAGAAAACAGACAGTCTCCAATCACCATTTATAAGGTAAACAGCAGTGCTGTTCTCCAAGCGCCATTACTTTAAAGTAAAAAAAAAAAAGAGCAACCAAGACATAACCATTACTCCAGAGCTTTTCCCCCAATATTACCCATAGCTCATTTTTTATAACAATATTGTTACAAAAAACATTAAAAATTTTAAATCATCATTAAAATAGTTCCAGGAAAACATAACTAATTTTATGAAGTCATTTGACCTATGATGCCTTTCAGCTTCCTTCTAAAGAGACAATCCCCTTTCTGCAAGCTGTTTGTAACCAGAAAGCAGCTAAGCAAATTACATGCAGATGCAAATCTACTAATGTAATTTCATTATTGTCATGTGACTTTTATTTCTAACAAAAAGCCTTCACAGAGACATTGGCATAACTATATCCCACATTCCTTCCCTATTGCACTGAATTTTATGGACAATTTATTTTCTTTAGGGTAAATAAACATGTGAGATGGGGGAATAGCATACCTAAAATTTAAGGGAACAGGAGAAACAATGGCAGGGCCTCACACCACATTTAAAGGGAGTTTCCAGTGAAGAAGAGAGAAGCTGCCCAGAGCTGAATGGTCAAAAGATGGATTACAAAGAGTTTGGAGTAAGAAGCAGAAAGTGAAGAGATCAGAAGATGCTTGTTTGCTTCAGGGAGTTTGTTGGTTCATGCAATAATCTAGATATTTCTTGTTCTGAGTAATCACAAAAAAAAAAAAAAATGGCTTTGGAGATTTTCTTTTTTAAATGGAGATGAAGGAAAAGAAATCTTTTTTGGATAGTTGATAAATTTTTATTACTTACTGAAGGATCTACTTGATCATTTGTTACTCCCCTCAGGACAATTTTTAATGGGTGCTTCATGAAAGGTGCCAGGCAGAGCAGACTTTCCAAATAATATCCAATACCGCGACTGGGGCTGCAGTCGTGTTCCAATGAGCCTCCATACAAAAGACCAGGCTGATAATACAGGGTTGTACCTGGGGAAAGACGAGAGGGGAGAAGGTCATATCAGAGCATTACGAGTACACTAGCCATGACCACAGCATAAAGACACTTTGCACCAAGACGTGCCAACAAACTGGAGACAAAACTCAGCACAAGGCAGGCTGTTCTCCTAGTGCACATCTTCCCTGTCTGCTGTGCAATAATGGGCTAAGGCAGATGCGTGTCTGTCTTGCACACCACTTCTCTTTCCCTCCCAGTAAATGACAAATCCTTTAATCAACCCTCAAAATGCATATGGAGGCAACTGCCATCCTTCCACAGCTGCCACATCTTTACCAGACCAACAGGTCATTGCTGCCCGAGCGCTGTCTACTGATAGATCATCAGCTTTACTGACCCTGCAAAACCCTCAGCCATCAATGCACGGAGAAAAGTACCCGCTGATATTTCTCTATGGGAGATTCATGGTCAAACAAGCCCTCTGAGCATGATGAGGTAGGAACAAATCTTGCCTTCTAACAATCCCCTTCTAGCTCAGGGGGATCTACCCCACTATGAAATACTGCACACCAAGCAAAATAACAAAACTCTGGAACTTCAGCAATGCAGTTCCTTTGACTCACTGCATTACAGGGGCACATTGCTCTCTTCACCTGTGATCTATCATTACAGAACCTCTCGATTTGACAATTTCTGRTCTTCTTGGCTTTGGGCACCAAGCTATCTGGAAACTTACCCCTGACAAGGCAACTTTCCCTTCACTGCAGCAAGTGATACAGCCTGGCAAAGGGGAAAMGAAAGATCTCACCTGTTTGGTTTATTTCAATCCTAGAGCCATTGGTCACCTTGTCAATGAGGCGAATAAAACTCGCTTCAAAATCTGATGAGAAAAAAAAAAGAAAAAAGAGGGAGGGTTAAATGTTTTTAGATATGTAGGTATGTATAGAAAGCAGTAAGAAACTTCTACACAGAGCATACCATACCTGTGCATTTTCCCTTTCTCGCTGTTCACAACAGCACTCTCTAGAAGCCAATAGGGCTACCTCCACTCCTCAGTTTGTTGTAGTGCAGTTTCACCACATGGGGAGAAAAGGCAATTCCCTGCCTATCCAGAGGCCCCATCTTGAGCCTGGTGCAGGCAGACGGGGGTCACGCTGCTCTCGCCTGCACACTGTGAGCTGCGGGACGGGCTTGTCCCACCACAGCCGAGTGCTCCCTTCAGCCCAGGACACAGGTCATTCCTGCAGTGCCCATGCACAGACCCCAGCATGCAGGACCCTGTTTATTTAGGCTTACGACGCGAACTGCAGCATCTCCTTATTTTTTGTAGAGGTTTTCTTTCAAAAGAAGCTGACATTCGGATGCAAAGTGTACTGTGTTCCAAAAACACCACTGTGATAATATCTATTTGCAGACTGCCAAATTTTCCAGAGCCATCTGTGACATAATAAAGGCTAGAGGAAGAAGAGGTCTTCCCATCACCTCTCTTTCTGATCAGAACGTGCTTCTGTTCAGACTGCAGCAGTTTGTGTGAAATTMCTTAACGAGTTTCTCCTCTTTCTGCAGATCCTTTCTCAGAGTTACGGGGAAGAGACAAGATGAAAAGGAATCTTAACCTCACATTTAGGTAGCCCAAGCTGGATGACACTTGGTATCAAGGAAAATACTGTTCAAATATAGTTCAAAAATCAGTCAATTTAAAGAACCAACAGCACCTGCAAAATTATCAGTTGGTAGTACAACTTCATTATCCGTAATGCCTGACACAAAGAGCTGCTCCTGCCCTCTGTGGGCATTTTTATACCCAGCTGCCCTCTGTGGGCATTTTTATACCCAGCTTTACATGATAATCCTGGAAGTGCTTCCAGTGGGAAGGAGCATCCTTGTGAACAGCTGCCACCGCCGGGGAGGACAAACCTGCACTGAAGTTTGTGTGTGAAGGCTCCAGCCACAAATGGCAGAGTGCACTGCATGTTGAGTTTGTTATTGTGCTTTTTCTGATACTGTCACAGGTTGCATTTTAACCCATGCTTTGAAAAGATAGCTCAAATACCTACTAGAAAAAAAATGGCRAAAAATGCTACCTTCATCACAACCAAACTGCCAGTAATGACTACTTGGGGTCTTGGTAAGTGTCAAGCCAAGTGCAGAAGAGCATTTTGGAAGTTAAATTCTTGCTATAAGCCAAAGGCTTCCAAGGAAGCAGCAGAGGGTCTGCGCTGCCACAGGATTCATTCCCAGCCTCGCACCTTGCCCAAAAGGAAAGGGAAGGAAAGGAGGTTCTGGGACAGCTGCCCCAGCCACGGGAAGCACCAGGTACCACTCGGGACCGGCCGCGAGTGCCAAGGGGAGCGTCTTTCCTCCTGCCTCTGGAGGGACAAACCAGGCACAAGCCAACGCATGAAGCCTGATCCASTCAAACTGCTGGGAGCGTGTCTCTRCGAAGGGGTGTTGGGAAGGCCATGGGGCATCCACGTGGGATGGGAGCAGCCGCAGCCTCCTGCTCCCCTCGCTCCTGCTGGGGAAGGGGCCACGGCTGCATGAGGAGCCAGGGGGACCCTGTGCCCACCGTGTGAGCCCTGCTTCCCTGACCCCGCTTCTCTGGTCCTGTAGCAGCCCCACTTCCCTGAGCCCTGCTTCCCTGAGCCTGGTTTCCCTGGAGAGCCTGGTTAGCCCCCACCCCTGSATAACTCCCGCACAGCCTGGCTAATCTCAGGCCTCGGGATACTCGGGTTATTCTTAGACCCTGGCTATGCTGATAACCCTGCTCCTCAGCACCGGGATATCCTGGCTATCCCGGCTATTCTCCCGGAGCTTCCCTCTCCTTCCCCCGTCCCCGCAGGCGCCGGAGGTGCCCTGCAGGAGCGCGGGCTGCGCCGCGAGCGTTCCCCCGCGCCGCGGGTGCCGGCACGAGCTGCTCACCGCGGAGCCCGGGGTCCTCCTCCCTGGCGCGGATCTTGCGGATCTTGAGCGGGCGCCCGCTCAGCGTGGACAGCACCAGGCGCTGCCGCAGGAAGTTGCAGCCCGCGTAGCTCAGGCACTGCGAGTGGCCCGACATGCCGCTGCTGCTCCCGTTGCCGCTCCCGTTGCCGCTCCCGCCGCTGCTCCCGCCGCCGCCGCCCGGCGCGCCCACGTGCTTGGGAACAGGAAGCGCCGCGCGCCGCCGCGCGGGGTCACAGGGCGCGGGGCGGGGCCGCCGCGGCCGTTGGGCGGCCGTTGGGCGGCCGTTGCGCGGCCGTTGGGCGGGGTGTGCCGTGTTTTCCTCAGCGCCGTGGCCGCCCATGAGGGGCTGTCTGTGGCTGCCGGTCCGGAGTCTGCGCGAGGACTGGTGTCAGGGGCGCGCTTAAGTG